CCCTCCCCCGCAAGCAGCCAACCAAGCGTGGCTTTAGAAAAATCCAATAAAAAGCTTAAGTTTTTGTCACCCTGTGATAACATTTCAGAACATTTTGGGGAAGGGAATTGAGAGAGAGATAGAGATAGAAAGTGCTTAATAGAATTAGCCAGGGAATTGGGATGCCCGAATATTTCAGTCAGATTAATGTTAATCATAGCATGGTTTACAGCATAAAGGGAGCTTAGAGAATAAACACAGCTGACTTAATACATCCCTGGAGTAACTTCATTAACTCCAGTGAAGCTACTTTGGGCGTAAATCTAGCCTGGGCTTCCAAGAGGAACTTTGAACATAACTGATTCGAATAACCAAAGACCTACACACACACACACACACACACACACACAGAGAGAGAGAGAGAGAGAGAGAGAGAGAGAGAGAGAGAGAGAGAGAGAGAGAGAGAGAGAGAGAGAACAAAAGGCATGATTCGATTCTGTAAGGAAGGGGTCCCCAACCTTGGCAACTTTAAGACCAGCGGGCTTCAACTCCCAGAATTGAAAGTCCACGAGTCCAAAAAAGGGCCAAGTTTAAAGACTCCTGGCCTAGCCCAGTGTTTCTCAACAGTGCTGTCTGGGGGATTCTGGGAGTTGAAGGCCACATATCTTAGTTGCCAAGCTTGAGAAACACCGACCTAACTTCTCTCACACAGGATTGTGGTTATAAGAAGAAACAAAGAGGGAGATCTCCCATCAGTGAACCTGAGCGGCCCTTGAGGTTGATATAAATATCAGGAGGACATTGAGACGTCAACTTTGGGTTTAGTTATCGTGGCGTTTCTGTAAACCGTTCGCAGTTTTATGTTTGCTTTTGCTTCTCTTTTTCTAGGAACCACTATCTTCTGTATGGAAAAAATAAATATAGCAAGTTTTCGAATTATATCCATAAAATGCCAATTAAATGGGAGACAGGTTAGAATTAATGTCACAGTTAATTAGTTAATATATGCGATTATAGTAGCTCTAATTAAAACCCTAATTGACTTTTCATCACTTATCCTATGTTGGCAGTTTCAACAATTAAACTCATAAATTTCTACCTCATTTCTATTTGGGGATTTTCATGCTTAGCTTACCCCCCGATTCTTTTCAGGAAGTACTCTAACTATATTAAATTATATTCTACATTTTACACAAATGTATCTCATACTGGGTATAGCCACCCTTTTACCTGTATATTTTGCAAGAGAATTGGGGTTCAGGTATGAGTTAGCCTTACAGGTAATATTATCGGTGGGAGTACAAATAGCCGTTGAGTCCAAAATTTCTGCAGCTCAGTGAGACATTTAAGTGAATTTTGCCCCATTTTACAACCTTTCTTATCAGAGTTGTTAAGTGGATCACGGCAGCTGTTAAGTTAGAAACATGATTATTAAGTGAATTGACTTTGCTTGTCAGAAGGTCACAAAAGGGGATCACATGACCCTGGGACGCTGCGACCGTCGTAAACAGGAAGTGTCTGAATTTTGATCACGTGACCACGTGCAACGGTTGCAAGTGTGAAACATGGCCGTAAGTCGCTTTTTTCAGTGCTGCTGTAACTTTGAACGATCACTAAATGAACTATTGTAAGTCGAGGACTACCTGTGTTGCAAGGAGAATAAAGAATATCCCTTAGATCAGGGGTAGGCAACCTCGGCTCTTTTATGACTCATGGACTTCAACTCCCAGAATTCCTGAGTCAGCATAGCTGCCTTAGATGCTCATTGCTCAGTTTTTTCATGTCAGGCTCCAAAAACCAAGACAGACACATTGAAGTTCTTCTAGGCAGTTTCTCTATGGTTCCCTACCTATAGACAGAAATCTTACCAAACTAAAACGGACTACTTGCACCATAAAACATACAATATCCTCTAGGAACTGTTAGTGAGGGAGGAGCTATCTTCACCCTCTTTCTCTCATACCAACTATCTAAACTTTGCTATCTCTTGCTCCTCTGGAATGCAGCCCCTCCCTCCTGGGAATCCAGACTACATTCCATCACAGTTCATTTGTGAATCAGTACATTTTTCCAGGATTTTGCCCTGCAACACTATTAGTATCATGTGGTGTTTTCTTAAACATATTACCCAGGCTGCAAATATTCCAGAGGACCTTCAGCTAACACTTTGCTGCCATCTAGCTATCTTCTGGATTTCTGCAGGCTGGGTCGGCCATCTTAAAGGCATTGGTGTATAGTGGTTGCTGCACATCACCATCCCATTTCTTTAGATAGCAGTTGGGAGGCATGATTTATCAGTGGTTAATTGCTATTTCAACTTATTTACTCTTCCTATGATTTTACTTGTAACCGATATAGAGGATTCTTTCTCTGGCTGTGTCAGTAATGTGAAAACATTTGGATGTAGCATTTGTTCATGGGTGCAGGAAGGATAATGAAAATTTTGGCTGGAAAACGGGATCCTCTGGCTGACCTCCTCCTCCATCTCTGCTCCTTTGCCAGACCGCACTTTCAAGCCTCTGAAAAAAATCACTTTTGAGTTCCCAAATGCTCCTGTGGACTTATTTCCCAGAATTCTCCAACCTGCACCGCCATTACTGAGAATTCTGGTAATTCCTAGTCAGCCATATGCCCAGATGGAGAAAAAATTATTCTCAACAAAGTCAAAAGAGAAGTAGCTTGTGGAGGAGTTTTTTTTTTCTCCAGTTTGATGCTGAGGGAACAAATTAAGGAGACCCGAAGAAGCAATTCACTTAATGTCTGAATCTAAGCCAGGTCCAGTGCCAGGCTCAAAAGAATGATGGAAAGATGGAGAGAAAAAAGACCCTTCCATTTTCCCAATTGAACTTCCCTTTCCAGCCACATTTTTCTCTTTGCCCCCTCCCCCTTGAAACGTGCCCACCACAAACATACAAACAAGCACACACAGATATATGGGGGGGAAAGAGAGGGGGGAAGAGGGGAGAGAGAAGAGAGAGGGGGGGAGAGAGAGAGGAGAGAGAAAGTGGAGAGAGAAGGGGGAGAGAGAGAGGGGTGAGAGAGAGGAGAGAGGGGGAGAGAGAAGGGAGAGGGGAGAGAGAGGGGGGAGAGAGGAGAGAGAAAGGGGAGAGAGGAGAAAGAGAAGAAAGAGAAGGAGAGAGAGGGAGAGGAGAGGGGAGAGAGAGGGGAGAGGGGAGAGAGAGAGAGGGGAGAGAGGGGGGAGAAAGAGAGGGAGAGAGAGAGGAGAGAGGGGAGAGAGAAGAGAGAGGGGAGAGAGAGAGGAGAGAGAGGAGAGAGAAAGGGAAGAGAGGAGAAAGGGGAGAAAGAAAGGAGAGAGAGGTGAGAGGGGGGAAAGAGAGAGGGGGAGAGGGGAGAGAGAAAAGAGAGAGAGGAGAGAGAGGGGGGAGAGAGAGAGGAGAGAGAAAGGGGAGAGAGGAGAAGGAGGAGAGAGAAAGGAGAGAGAGGGGTAAGAGAGAGGAGAGAGGGAGAGAGAGGGGGGAGAGAAAGGGAAGAGAGGAGAAAGGGGAGAAAGAAAGGAGAGAGAGGTGAGAGAGAAGAGGGGGGAGAAAGAGAGGGAGAGAGAGAGAGAGGAGAGAGAGGGGGGAGAAAGAGAGGGAGAGAGAGAGGGGGGAGAGAGAAAGGAGAGAGAGAGAGATTGTGATCAATAGTATGTTCAAGCTGAATCTCTAATTCAGATAAAGTTCCTTCTTCCTGTTAACTAATTTCGCTCCCTCTGTTCCTATTGCTCTTTCTCCTTATTTCCCTTTCATCTTGCTTATTATCATTGCTCCCATCATGCCTGCTGCAAAGCATGGGCCTTCCTTGGAATTAATCAAGTTGTAGCTAATCAAACGGCTGGCATTAGCATAAAGTTCAGTTAATTGTCTCCCTTCCACTTTATGAGGAAATAACCTCATAAAGCACATTTCTGATTAGATAAAGGGCTCTTTCAAATAATAATAATAATAATTTTAAAAGGCAGTAAGATCCATCAGCCGGCTGCGGATGGTTTTAAGGAGAAATAAAGGAAAATGAGGAGTCTTGGCTTCACTATTAGCTCGGTATCTTTTTTTTCCTTCTATTTTTTTTTCTTTCCCATTTGCACTTAAGCTTTCTGTTTTATTTCTTCCTTTTTTCCCATCTTACTCTATTTTAGTTTGTATTAATTTTTACGCTTGTTTTTAAAACTTTGAGTAGCGTTGTATGGGGGAAAACAATTAAAGCAAGTCTTTACCCATTCAAGAACAGAAACATGGAGGGGGTATGCTGGATTGTGGAAATGGAAATCAATAGATTGCATTTTAGCCTGGTGAGCGTACTGGGTGCATTAACCTGGAGACTTTAATTTCTGGTTCAACATGCCATTTGCAAGCCCAGTGATAAAAACAAGTTCCTCCCTGTTCTTTGCATTGCTCTTTCCAGGATGGTTTTTCACGGTGGGTTTGCTTTTCCGGTGGTCTCCCATCCCGGCGTCTGCCAAGACAATGAGTAAAGAAAGCCCGATTAGGGCTGTCATCTGCCGCAGGTCCCTCCCCAGGCAAAGCACGCAGGAGCTCCGCTTCGCCCTGGGTCAACCTGCCTGGAAATCAAGGCTCGCACAGGACAAGGGCGTGGGAGTCCTTCCTTCCTTCCTTCCTTCCTTCCTTCCTTCCTTCCTTCCTTCCTTCCTTCCTTCCTTCCTTCCTTCCTCCCTCCCTCCCTCCCCTCTCTCCTGCCTTTCCTTCTTGCCTTCCTTCCCTTTCCTTCCTTCCTTCCTTCCTCCCTCCCTCCCTCCCTCCCCTGCACAGCACCTACTGGGAGCAGCGACCTTCCTTCCCTTTCTCCCTCTCCTGCCTCCCTGCTCAGCTTCACACAACCCGTTCTGCAAACGCGGTGGGTTTCGCGTGTCGTGGGAACCCATCCCGGTGGTCCAAGGAAAGCCGAGCCAAGGGCCACGTGGGAATCCACCCAGCCCTCCCCCTGCCTCCTCCTCCTCCTCCTCCTTCCCCCGAGCAAGCTTGCTGGGTGCCAACGGCCACCGCAGCTTTAAAGCCAGATCCACGTGAGCCGCGCGGCTGGCTGGCTGGCTGGCTGCCCCTCTCCCTCTCCCTCTCTCCCCCCCATTGCAGCGCCTCGCTCGGCTGCCTCCTCCTCCTCCTCTTCCTCCGCGGCGCCCCCCAGCCCGAGCCAGGCAGAAGCTCCGCGCTGCAGTTCTGCGCAAAGGAGCAAAGCGGCGGCGGCGGCGACGAATCGAAGTTTCCGCGCGACCCGGAGCTCCCCGCGTGACCCGATCCGCGGGTGGGCAGGCAGGCAGCCAGCCAGGCAGGCGGAGGGAGGGAGGGCCAGCGCGCCTCCTCCTCCTTCTCTGCCTGCCCGCCTTGCTTCCTTCCCACCCTCCTTCTTTCCTTCCCTCCTTCTTCCCACGCGGGGAGGGCGAGAGCGACCCTCGGCGGGCGGACGCGGCGGATCCCTCCCCGGCTGGACTGGCGAGCGAGCGAGCGAGAGGCGAAGGAGGGGCGGAAGAAACGGGGGGACCCCGCCGGCGCCCCACCTTCTTTCCAGCAGCAGTAGCAGCAGCAGCACAGCCGCCCCGCGGTTGCGCCGATGCCGGCCCGGCTAGTTGGGTGGTGGTAGCAGTCGCGGACCGGGCCAGCAGCTGCGGACTCGAACCCCGAGCCAGCGAGCGACCATGGGGCGACCCGCCGCTCCGACAGTCTTCCTCTTGCTCCTGGGGCTTCTGGCCGCCTCGCTCGCCGGCTTCCCCAACACCATCAGCATAGGTGAGAAGCGGGAGCCCCCCCCCTCACCCCCTTTTCCCCGACTCGCATGATCTTCATCTCCACCCTCCTCACGTTAAGTGTTGGATGAAAGCTTTGAGGCGAGGGGGGGGGGCTTGCTTCAGCTCAAAACTCCCTATCCAACTGCCTTTCCCCCCCCCCCTCCACCACCCCTTTCCTCCCCTCCCTCGGCTGCAATAACCCCACAAGGAGTTAGTTGCTCGCCGTTGGAGTTGGGACTACTCCGAATAGGGTACCCAACAATTGAGGGAAGCGGGTGGGGGGGGGTGGGCTGGAGGAATCTCAACTGAACGATTGAATTGAACGTAACGGTTTGGTCGCTTGGAAAGCGAGGGGGAATGCAGCGCAAGTGATCGGGCGCCGGGCTTTAATGCGGATTGGGATCCTTTGGCCCGCCTGCGGGATCTCTCGGCTGAAGTTGGGCGTTTCGGAAGCCAGCCGTGCCTTGCTTGGGTGCAAAGGAAGCGGATCCCTTCCCTTCCCTTCCCCGGGAGAACTGGCAGGGCAAAAAACTTCCGTGGAATTGTGCCACGCGGGGCCAGCCTGTCTGGGTCGGGGGTTGCTGTTTGCAAGCCCACCGAATGCCCTCCCCCCCCCACACACCGGGCTTCCCTTTGAAACTTTTTGGGGTTTGGTCTGAGCTGATGTGCCTGGGTTTTGAACCCACGTCCGGGAGCTGTCCAAGTGCTGCAAATGAAATCTGTTTTTGCAGGGTTTTTTTTTTTTTTTTTTTTGCCCTGGCATTTTTTTTTCTTTTTAATTTTTTTTGGGGGGGGGGCTGAAATACCCGGTTTGGCTCTCCGGGAGAGGGAGGGGCGAGAGAACCCCATGTGCCAGACAAATAAGATGAAGCATTCATGGGGTGCCCTTCCCCCCCCCAAGCTGGCACGGGGTACCCAGCCAAAACCGTGTGGGGGGGGGGAAGTGCAGGTGGATGATCAAAATAATCCGCGCCTTGTCTGTCTGCAACGACTCCGTGCTGCTGCAGCAAATGTGTGTGTGTGTGTGTGTGTGTGTTTGCGTGCGCGCGTGTTTTTTTTTTTTTTAATTGTTCTATGTGTAGGAGTGTAAAAATTGCCTGCCCACTTGGGTTCTTCTGGGGCACTGAAAAATGCCAAGCTGTACTTAAAAATAGCATTTTGTTTGTGGAGCATTTACCTCTTACGGTTTGCTCTCCCCCCCCCTTTTCCAGTTATATCTTATTTTGTTTCCTTCCCACCCCCTACGTGCTGTGCAGAAAGAACACGCGGGGGGGGGGCTTGTTTTGCTGCTGCTGCTGCACGGAAAAAGAGTTTGGTTGGGTGGGCTGAAGAAGGAACTAGAAAAGCGGACCCTTATTTTTCAGGGGTTCTATTCCACCCCACCAGCCTGAACACGATCAGGAATCTGGTGGCTAAATCCTACTGGTATGTCTAGTGTAACAAAGAGAAGGGCTGGGGGGGGGGTGTGTGTGACATGACAGCTGAATTCCCAGTACTTGAAGGGCTGTCACAGAGAAGAGGGAGAACTGATGTATTCTCCAAAGCGTCAGAGGACAGGGCAAGAAGGAATGGGTGAAAACTCCTTAAAGAGAAATCCAATCTAGAACTAAGGAGAAATTTCCTGACGGTGAGAATAATTAACCAATGGAACAGCTTGTCTCCTGGAGTTGTGGGTGCTTCATCACTGGAGCTCTTCCAGAAAAGATTGGACAGCCATTTGTCTGTGATGCACTCCTGCTTGAAAGAGGGGTTGGACTAGAAGACCTCCAAGGTCCCTTCCAGCTTCTCTTCTCTTCTCTTCTCTTCTCTTCTAGTCTAGTCTATATTCTAGTCTATATTCCATCCCATTCTACTCTACTCTCTAGTCTATATTCTAGTCTATATTCCATTCCATTCCAGTCTAGTCTATATTCTAGTCTATATTCCATCCCATTTTACTCTAGTCTAGTCTAGTCTAGTCTATATTCCAGTCTATATTCCATTCCATTCCATTCCATTCCATTCCATTCCATTCCATTCCATTCTATTCTATTCTATTCTATTCTATTCTATTCTATTCTATTCTTTCTTCTCTGCCCAGAAGGCAGCTGCAATCTGCCATTCTATTTGGTAGATAAGAATACCTTCAGGGCTAGTTGAAACTTTGCTTAGGGACCTTTTACCTCTGTTTTATTTAGGCTGCTTTGGAGGGCAGGGGAGGGAGCCACATAATTGCACATTTAAATCTGGTGATCCCTGGAGATCAGAGAGCTAGGTTTTCTCAGATCTGGGGTTCAGTACATGGTTTTAATCATTTCCCCCCCCTAAATAAGTCCATTCTGGTCTTTGAATAGCTGTACAGGTTTGGGACAGAATAGGCTTACCTGCCTTAGCCTTGGCTCTGACTGAGCATGGTTAGGCTGTGGTTCTTCTAGCCATTTAGCCTGAAGGATGCCTCTCTGAATGCAGCAGGATTTATTTCTGATCGCAGGGATGGAGAGAAGCAAATTCTGCCCTGAGCTTTCCTGCTTTGAAGTACATCTCTTCCCCAGTTCCATTTTCCAACACAGCCCTCTGTGGAAATTGACCCGGGAAATCAATCCCATGGACCGCCGCATATAACAATGCTCAGATCGGGCTGCGTTTTGGATTGGGGGGGGGGAAGTCCTGCCCAACTTGCTTGGGCTGATGCTGTAGGTAGGATGTCTCTTGGGGGTTTCGACCTTCTTGCTTGAAAGGGGTCTTGCAGGATTAGAAGCCCCCCCCCCTTCTCTGTGCCTCAGAAGAACTCACTACACAGAGGGACCTGGCTGAGCATAAACCTAGGTAGAATTCCCCTTGTACTTTATAGATTTGCTGCTTGGTCTGACTTGTCTCGCCTTTGAAACCCCTTTGCTTTTTCAACGGGGCTGAGTTCCAAATTAGCATGGCTGAGAATTACAGCCCAGCAGGATTTGAAAAGCCTCTCTGTGTGTGTGTGTATATGAGAGAGAGAGAGAGAGAGAGAGAGAGAGAGAGAGAGAGAGAGAGAGAGAGAGAGAGAGAGAGAGAGAGAGAGAGAGAGAGAAAGAGAGAGAGCAAGAGCAAGAGCAAGAGAGAACAACATTCCTGCATTGAAGATGTGAATGCAGATTTATGTAGCTTGCTGATTTTTGACATGAAATGTGGTCTTGGGTAACAGTAAATGCCTCAGGGCATTTTAAACCAGACGATCCTTCTGTTTTCTCCCAATCCTCAGTGTTGTTGGTTTTTTTTTGTTTTTTTAAAAAATATCCTATGTCTTCTCCATTGTAGGAGGACTTTTCATGAGAAACACTGTCCAGGAGCACAGCGCATTCCGATTTGCTGTGCAGTTGTACAACACAAACCAAAATTTCACAGAAAAGCCGTTTCATTTGAACTACCATGTGGATCATCTGGATTCTTCTAACAGTTTTTCAGTGACCAACGCATGTAAGTAGCTGGCTGGATTTTCTTACAATCCCACGTCCCCTGCTTAGTTTTCAAACCTTTCTTCTCTTCTTCCATCTGGTCTCTCCTTCTTTTTGCCCCAACATCCAGAGCTGCGGTATGAGAAACTACAGACTGTGTCACAGCAGCCAAGCATAAGGAGAAGTTAATTTATTGTGCAGGGCTTTCTGCATAGGACAAAATGGGTTGATTCTTACAGGCCAAATATGGATTGCTTTCTCTTCCTTCCTCTGAAGCCTTTGAAAGACCGAGGCAAAAAAGAGAGAGGAAAAAAAAAGACACATAAGTTCATTGTTGAGGTTTATATAAACTGATGTTCAGTGGTGATAGGGGGCATTATTTGACAAATAATATGTTTGCAGAAACTAGCATAGTGGCTGTTGTTTAAAGTGACCTTGGAATGATAAGGGGAGAATGGATTTTTTTTTTTTTGGCCCTTTTCTGCCTTAAAATAGCTTTTCTCCTTGCAAAGAATGTGTGTGCGTACATGTGTGTTTGTGTGTGTGAGAGAGAAACAGTGAGAAGGCAGTAGAAAGGGAGAGACGTCACCTAGGAATTGGAGGGCCAGGAGAGAAATGGTGTAGAAAGCTTGATGGGCTGGAAAGAAAGGAAAAAATTAGCACCACAGATGTATACAGTTTTTTTTCCTTCTTGTTTTGATGTCTCCTGTTCCACTTTCTTTCTGAGCAATTAAAAAAAGAAGGGATAGAGTAGGGTGAAGGAAAACAAATCCATTGACCTTTGATATACTGCAGCTGGTACTTCAAGTCCAATCAGGAAAGTCCAGTCTTAATGTTAGGAGATGTTTTGATTTGGGAGCAGGAATATTGATACAGATATGGTTTCTATCTTAGGGCCAAACGGGTCTCTTAGTTAGGGCCCAATCAACTTGAGAATGAAAGATAATGGATAAGCAGTAAATGAAGTCAGTTTACTCTAGAAAGAGTGCAGAGAAGAGCAACAAAGATGATCAGGGGACTGGAGGCTAAAACATATAAAAGAAATGGTTGCAGGAATTGGGTATGGCTAGTCTAGTAAAAAGAAGGACTAAGGGTAACATGATAGCAGGGTTCCAATATTTGAGGGGCTGCCACGAAGAAGAGGGGGGGTCACCTATTCTCCAAAGGACTTGGGCAGGGAAAGAAGAAATGGATGGAAACTAATCAAGGAGAGAAGCAACCTAGAACTAAGAAGGAATTTCCTGACAGTTAGAACAATTTACCGTGGACTAACTTGCTTTCAGAGGTTGTGGGTGCTCCATCACTGGAGGCTTTTTAGAAGACATTGGACAGCCATTTGTTTGGAATGGTATACGGTCTCCTGCTTGAGCAGGGGGTTGGATTGGAAGACCTCCAAGGTCCCTTCCAACTCAGCACTGGGTTGAGGTGGCTACATGGTGCCCCCAGCCAACTGATGCTGGTCAAATGCAGCATGGGAGAGGAGGAGAGGGAGAAAGAGACAGAGGGAGGGGCAAGGGAAAGGGAGAGAGAGAGAGGGAAGGAGAGGGAGATGGAGAAAGAGAGGGAGGGATAGGGATAGAGAGAGAGGGAAGGAGAGGGAGACAAAGAGAGAGGGAGAGAGAGAGAGAAAGAGACACAGACAAATTGAGAATCACAGTTCTTGAAACTAGCCAGGTGAATTTGACCCCCTCGAAACAAGGATCCCATGCATTCTGTCTTCTACGGCAGTGGAAACACAACAACAATCAATAACAATTTGTTAGTTTTTTCTTGATATTCTAAATTAGTTCCCTGCCATCTAATCCCAATCCTGGAAAGCAGTACTTTGATGCTTCAGCTGCTACTCAGTCTGAAATGGAGCGATATTTATGCAGCGTCAATCAATCTGAAATTGCACTGTATTATATTTATATACTCACTAGTGCTACATGACCTGCTGTGACAATGTTTTTGCCTTCCTTATTGCATCCCTTTTCTACGTGTGACCCAAGTAAAAAAACAACAACAACCACACAGATACACGAAATTGGATCTTGAACCTTGCTTAGCCTACAATCTGTGTCAGTTTCCTTAGATCTAAAGCCACGGCACATTTAATCAGATCAGAGAGTGATTTAACAGAGTGATGAGGAATTATGGAAAGGGTGAACATGCTGTGTGAACCTAGCCTGCCTGATTTATTTGTAGTTCAGTGGATTGTGGGTTAATTCAATCCCTAGGCTTAAGTGAGTTGTGTGAGCCTAGCTAGTGGGTTTGAATTTAGAAGTGTATTGATGATGTTGTTTGCATATCTTGGTCTTATTATTTTATTCAGCTGAATATGCAGACTGGGGTTGGTCATTCATTTATTTGTGTTGGGCTGATGTGCAATGGCCACATCTGGAAACCTTTGAAGACCACAGTAGATCTTTTCCTCCATCGGTGGAGGCTCATGCATCCATCTGGCTGTGTGTTCTGGATCTAGGATGCTTAACCCTACCCTTAAGAAAGAAAATGAGGAAGGATATTTGGGCCGTGCTCCTGTCTTTCCCTAAAATATTGCTGGGAATTCACTGTAAGTCAGGGGTCCTCAACCTAGGCAACTTTAAGACTTGTGGACTTATTTAGTTTTAGAACTTGCATCAGTTTTCAAGTTTTATTTCTCATATCTTCTTTATGTGCATCACAGACATTTGGGGAGCAGTTTTCCATAAACTTCACCTTATCCTTATCATTTAAGGACTTAGTGTAATCCTCTTTGAGGTGCAGTCTGTCTGAATTTAATATGTATTTGAAACTCAACTTTGTTTTCACCCAATTTGAAGACAGCAGCATAAATATTGTTTGATTTGAGGAGTGGCAAACAATTTATATTTGTTCATGTTAAAATGCAACATTCTGTCTCATTTCTAACTGTAGATATGGCTTCCCTTACATGTTCTACTAGGATAATCTCCACTTGAATAACTACACAGCCTCGTTTTCTTAATCTGAGGAATCCATAGATGATTATAATTTGCTGATCATGCAGGGTTCTGGAAATAGCCGTAATCGCCAACCTTTAATTTAGTGTTTAATCATGGTGATGTATTAAAATGGGCATCTCTTGTTAATTATTGCTCCACTGTTATTATTAAGGAACCCGTGTCTGACAAATATGGAATACATCATCATCAGTTACGAATCTTGGTGTCCTGATGAGAGTTAGGGACATTAATCAAGGAGAGACTCAACCTAAAAATAAGGAGAGATTTCCTGATAAAGTGAGAACAATTAATTGGTGGAATTACTTTTCTCCAGAAGTTGTGGGTGTTCCATCACGGGAGGGTTTTGAGAAGAGATTGGATGACCACTTATCTCTGCTTAAACAGGGTAGTTGGACTAGAAGACTTCCAAGATCTCTTCCAACTTGGTTATTCTGTAATCTAGAAGGCCACTACTATTTTATGGAAGACTTCGGCTGGATGTGATCATAGAGATGTTTCTCCTGTTCTCCTATTTTTCAGGCTGGGACCAGCTTATTTTTTTTCAAGAAGGCTTAGCTGCAAGGCATAAACCTAGTGGCCCTATTGTTTCATTTAAATGTTCCTAGTATTTGTAGGTCCAATGTCTTTGACTAGGCAACTCCTCATAGATCAATGTGATTGTTAGAACTGCCATCTGTTTTTCATGCTCATATTAGTCAGCGTTGTATGGCAGAGAATGCCCTAATTCTTTGGGACAGAGATGACATTTCTATCCGTTTGGCAATAGCTCTTCGTCAGATGAATTGATTTAAAGCAGACCAGTTCTAACTTTTTGTGAGCAAGTGGAAAAGAGCCGCAACCTGTCCCTGTTCCAGTCCTTTTCCATCCTACTTGATGCACAGCAGCATCTGTTGGCCAAGTGCATTGAGGAAAGGCTGGGAAAGGTGACCTTCCAGGAATAAAAAAGCTTACCTGATGATATATTATAAACGGTGGGTGATGGTGGAAACGTTATTTGTGGGCTTGGATAGGGAATATTTAAAGATTTTGCAGCTACAAATAAATAAACCAAATGGAGGCTATTCGTGCCAAACCTGAAAGTAATTTTTTTAAACATCTGAAGATATTTATAGTCATATGCCAAGGGTGATTCCCTATCTTTCTGCAAATGAGCTACTGATTGCCATTCTTGATGGGTTCACTTGACTTATGATTTTATTTATTTATTTGTATCTATCCTGCCTGTATTATTTTTAAAAAATAACTAAAGGTGGCGAAAACCTTCTTCCTATTTTCCCCACCACAACAACTCTTGAGGTGAGTTTGGCTAAGAGACAAGGACTGGCCCAAGATCACCCATCTGGCTTTCATGCCTAAGGCGGATCAGAAATCACAGCTCCTGGTGATTGGCCCACAATCACACAGCTGTTTTTCTTGCCTAAGGCAGAACAAAAATCACTTGTCCTGATTAATTGGCCCAGAAACACCCAGCTAGCTTTCATGCCTAAGGTGGAATCTCCTGGTGATTGGCCCAAAGTTGATTCCATGCTTCCATGCCTAAGGAGGAACTAGAACTCACTGTCTCCTGGTGATAAGTCTAAAGTCACCCCGCCGGCTTTCCTAGATAAGGTGGGACTTGGATTCAGTCTTTTGCTTTCCGGCCTTAACCACTAGACCAGGGGTCTGCAACTTTGACAACTTTAAGACTTGTGGATTTCAGCTCCCAGAATTCCTCAGCTGAGGAATTCAGAGAGATGAAGTCCACAAGTCTTAAAGTTGTCAAGGTTGCAGACCCTTGCACTAGACCAAATGGGCTCTCCGCAGATGTTTTTCTTCTTATAGTCATCTGGCTTCTCATCCTTCCTCAAGGATTGTTGTCCAATATGCTTGTGCTCTGCAAGCAATAGGTGATTTAACAACAGCTGCAAGTTGATGTAGATACATGTTGTCCTTAAACCTGCCTAGGAAATTCTAGGATTTGTATGTCTAGGATAGGTGGCCAAGAATCTCTTCTTGGTCCATCTCAGTATTTTACCCATCATGACTTTGAGATGGGAAATGGGTGAACTACAAAAGA